TGTAGGCATTCCATTTCCTTGTAGAGTTAAAGATATTTCACGTTTATAAAATTTAGATAGGTTGTATTACTGGACCAGTTATACATTTCTAGAATAGAAGTTAATTTTACTTTATTATTTTATGCTAGAAATGTGACAATTACTCTTGCATCCTTTGCTGTTAGATTCTCTGAACTTTCTTTAAAGTAGATTTTAATCTATTTAGCAACTATATCTACATATACTGGCTTATGTAAACCTGTTATTGTAAGAAATAACAATGTCTTGTGGTTTGATGTAATTTGTCATTCAGTTATTTGATATAAGTATGATCTAACTGCTGATGAAGAATAAAAGGTATCATTTTCTAAATATGTTCTTATAAAAACTTTTTTAATTCTTGATTTTGTTTCTTTGTGTGTTTTAGAAATTTTTGATTCTTTAGGATCAATGATATTGAAAACCAATCCATTGGTTACTTCCTTGTGTTAACAAATTAATTCCTACAATATCAGATGGTCAACTTCCAGTGGTAAGAGCAATTAAAAAGGCAGTCTTCTTTGTTAATTAAATAATTGACATTTCATTATTTTTTTCTAAAAATTCTGTAGCTTGTTTCGAAAACTCTTGATCCATAAGTAATTTCCTGATACAATTGTTGTGCAAATCTTCCATTTTAAATTGCAGAATGGTATTTGGTTGTTGTATACTATTGCCGATTTGTGTAAAGTTATTGGTATATTGACTAGAAGTTCCAGTAGTAGTGAAAATCAAGAGGCAGATTTCCTTAGTGAAAAGATTAAAATTATTATTGTTTGTTCTCTTAAAATTTTGAACAAAATTTTGAGAATTAGATATCATGGAGGGTTTGCATATGGTTTCTACTTTTTCCATGATTGTGCTAATGTATCTATGGCTATTACTTGTGAATTTCATTTTCAATTGAAAAATTTGGGTATTAGAGTGTTCTGTGCTGTTGCAAACAGATCCAAATTGGTTCGTCCTAGTATATATTATATTTTGTTAAAGGTTTTTCTGGATAATCTTCATTCTAATCAATCTTGATATAAGCATAATGCTGTGTCAGTTATCTTGTTCTTCGATCCTGGTATGTGCTAAGCTTGAATTTGAATTTTTTTTTCTAAACATAATTTCCAAATTTTCTTAACTACTAGACTTATGGTTGGTGATATTGTTCTGCCTTGGTGATTTATATATGCTACTGTTGTCATAGAATCAGATTTTATAAAAATTGTTTGATTTCTGTAGGTTTAATCAGCATAATAATGCTTTCTTTATCACCATTATTTCTAATACATTAATATGTTGTATTTTCTCTTTACAATTTCAGGTCTTAAATATTGTATTGTCACTCATTGTTGTGCCCCAACCTGTCATGAAGGCATCTTCTGTATAAATAATTACTTTTGGTTTTTCCATTATTATAGCTTTTTTATTCTAACTTTTTAAGTATTTTACTCACTCTAACAGTTGCATTTTGCTTTCATTTGATAGGTCTACAAAGGAATTCTATCTCCTACTTTTTAATCATAGGTTCTTGTCTCTCAAGAACTGTTAGAAAAATAAGTGTATTGGTGTTATTGCATTTGATATTGTCATTATTTTGCCTATTATTGAAGCTAATTTTCTTATGTATACTCATATCTTGGTACTCATTGCTTTGTACTCTCTGATTAAGTCTGTGATCTTTTGTCTGAATAGAAGTAGTTTCATTTGTCTTGAATTTATGATGAAGCCTAAGAATTCTATGGACTGTATTGACTTTAGACATGATTTTTTTGTGTTTATGATAAAGCCTAGTAATTTAAGTATCTGTATTAATGCTTTGCTGTTTGTTTTTGCTTCTTTCTTGGTCTTTGCTATTAGCAGAATGTCATCCAGATAGACTATTAATCTAATTCCGTATAATCATGCTATCGTTATTATAGCTTTCAATATTTTTTTAAATATTCTTGGGCTTGTTAACAGTCCAAAAGATAAACACCTGAAGCAAAAATAGCAATCTCCAAAATCAAATGTGAAATATTTTTGTGCATCGGCATATAATGGTATGTGATGAAAAGTATATTTTATGTCTATTGAGATCATATGATCATTTGAATGTATTAAACTCTTTACTAAATTAATTTCTTCCATTTTGAAATAAAAATACTTGACAAAATTGTTAAGATGTCTAAGATCTATAACTTCTCTTGATCTATCTGATTTTGAGAACAAGGAAAAATTTTGATAAAAAGTATAATATATTTTCTTGAATTTCTGAAATAATTTCATTGGTTAACATTTCAATAATTTTCAATTGCAACATGTCTTCATTTAAATATTGGTTTGTTTCTTTTATTGGTTGCATGATTAATGGTGATGATGTTTTCCAAATAGGATTATATCCTTCACATATTATGTTTGATGCCTAATTATTACCAAATTCTGATTGTCAAACTTGGTAAACCATTGTAATTTTCCACTAATATCTTTGGATTTGAGTACTATTGTGTTTTATTGTTTTGTGAGCTGCTTTGAAAATTTCTTTGTTTTTTTCAATTTGAAGACTAATGGGAACTCTTGTAATGGTTTGATTTAGAACCTCCATGAAAAGATTTATTGTTGTTATAATTCTGTTGTTGTTTATTAAATAATTCTGAACGTCATTTTTGTAAAAGTATATCATTAATAAATTTGATCTTATCACTTTTTTTTTTAATGATATCATGTAATTTGTTACCAAAAATCCCATCAGTTTGTTATTCTATATGATTAGAATTGATACTGTTATGGGCTAACCAGCGAGTCTGTTGCTAGTACTATTATCCCAGTGTAACATTAGTAGAAGGTAAGTGCCGTTCAATTAAACTCTTGAAGTATAACCGATTTGGCCAGTTCTCTTTTGCTATTAACTTTAACACTTCTTGACCTTTAGTTGAACTCTGCTAGTCACTAGGGCTCTCCCAAATCTCCTAGTTGAACTTTAGTTTATATAATCACATGAGCAAGTTATCAGCATTTAGATAAGGGGAGTGCCGTTTATTACATAATTTATTTTTATTATAAGGCTATCCCCCCTCCCCCCCTGGTGATCTATAATATAAAATTAAGCTAAATAAAATTTATAAATTAAACTAAATAGAATTTATGTAAAATTAAGCTAAATAAAATTAATTTATTAAATAAAATTAAAATAAAAATTTATTAAATTGTTTACTAAAAATAATTTAAAAAAAATTAAAAATAAAATAGTATAATTATGATAAAATTATGACATCTAAAAACTTGATTTTAATGTAACATGCTCTGATTTTTTTTTTCAAACTAAATATATTCCAAATTTCCCAATTGATCAACCTAACCGATAAATATGAGAGCACATCGATGAATCAGCAATGAGATTCCGATAAACATATCCAGAACGGCGAGCCCTTAGATGTACCTCGTGCAGCAACCCTTAGCTTAATCTTTCTATTTTCGTGGGCCAACATGAGAAAATACCTACACCCAAGTTAATTTTTGGTACGTTCCTGGAAAAACTACCTAAAGAATTTTTTTTTTTAGTTGTCCCAGGTGTGGCAGAAGAAAACTGTCTAAGAAAGAGTTTGATGTCTTCTGAGCTGATGTAAAAATGCACATACCAGAGTTTTTTTTTTGTCTTCGGAGGAAACAATAGGTCTGATGAAAGAGATGATAAATTAAGATGAATGTAACGATAGAAAAGGATTTCAAGAAATTTATCGAAATCAACTGCATACCAACCATCGACCTTTGAAAAAGGGACACTTCACATCAACTGTGATACTAAGAATAAGCACATCTTAGGAAAGAGTCAATAATATCGATGCCCTGGAATGTACAGAGAAAAATCAATAAAACGCATACTTCTGTTACTTGGGAGCACACCCGCAGATGATCAGCCTACAACTGATCCGTTTCATTAGAAGATAACCCAAAGCTCACCCGAACCAAGCAAGAAGATCAAAACCAGAAATATTCAACACGCACATCCGTCATCCTGATTTGATAACTAAACTATAACCAAAGAGAAATTCATCAGTTCAAATATCCTACGAAAGAATCATCAAAAGGAATCACCAACCTCCATCCAGAATGCTAGGACAATGCGAAACCTACTTTCAAATTGAAAGACCTATAAGAAGATAATAAAGAAACCGCAAACCCTCCGCATAAATCTCAAGAAAGAAAATTCCGCCGGACACCCTGTTCTGATCTAACAATCTATCAATAAAGATCACAAACCAAATCATTACGTAACAACTTGTACCGACAAGAAGAGAAAGAGATGATATCTCTCGATGAATCTAAAACTATCCGAAACTATAGGACCATTAGAAGACAACGATATGCCGAATAAAGAGAAGAAAGAAATCTCCACCCGAATGAATCAAGAATGGTTAAAAGAACTTACCTCTTAACATCACCCTTTCCAAGCTTTGACCAATGAAGATGGATAAGAAGGTAACAAATCATAAAGATACACACCTACATTATTAATCAATTTGATAAAGGTTTTTTTTTTTTTGTTAGAATCACGGAAAGATTGTTTTGATTTTGTATGAGGACGCACTATATAGGTGCCAGGGAACTGTTAGGAATGAAGCCGTCGCATCCGATTATGTCATGAATTGTGCGCAAGCCCTAGATTGTGATATAAGCCGTGCTTTAATGTGGCTGTAAATAGGAACGTAGTTATAGTGGTGCATTTATGGGAAAAGTGAGGATAGTAATATTAGATAATTCTTATGTAAACATAATAGAACACATGTATATAAGAGTAACATTGCAGAAGGAAAAAAAAAATATTATGTATCATTTATTAATTAAAAATTATTTCACCTTTAACCTACCTCAGAATAAATATCCTTTAACATTACGTATAATATTCTACTATGGCTCAGAGTTTTCTTTTGATACCCGTATTTTCAAAAACTTATTTGTATGCTAATTCTACAATTATATATCATGAATTTTGTAATGCTTTTGCATTTTTCACAATGGTTAAATCTTGCAATCCAAGTATGAAACGACAAGATTTGATGGATGCAGCAAACAAAGAATGGTGCAAATATCAGAAAGAATCTGAAGCAACAATCAAAAATCAAATTAATCAATATTTGATTGCTAGTCCATCTATTGTTCGAACAACTGCTTTTTTTTTACCACCCAATTCACTTGACTTACCTAGTTCAGAATTATCAACTTCGAACTCAGCTGGCTCAAAATTACTAGTTTCAGATTCAAGTTCTTTATTATTAAATAAAACACCTATTGCTCCTAATGCACCAGCTCAACGCAAGTCTTTAATGTTGATTCAAGAAGCCGAAGCTAAAATAACTAAATATGAACATCTACTGATAAATACTAGTGATAAGGATCTTCGATGTCAGATATATGAAAAATTAAAAAAAACCCGTGCTACTATTGAGAAGGAAAAAACTTATTTTAATTTACTTAAACGTCATGCTGCATCTCAAGAGAAATATCAAAAAAAAAAACAAAGGCAACTTGAAGAAGGAATTGTTGAAATGTTTGATACAAGAGGACGTCTATTAGAATTTCAAAAAAATCCCGAATTGCTTGATCAAATACATGAATGTATTGAATTTGATGCAGCAGATAAAAAAAGAAGAAAAACTACAATTAAAGTTCGTATTATAAAACATTTAAAAGAAGCTTTACAAGAAAAATATAATATTTATATTACTCGTCAAACACTTTCAACATACCTTTTACCTCGACATTCCAATACACGTAATGCACTTCGTCATCGTTATCCAGCAAATATTAAAATTGCAGCAGTATCCCGATCCGAAATGAACTTTCATATTGATGAGCATTATTGTCTTGCATCCGTTAAAATGGTCAGAGAATTTGCTTCAACCTTCACCAACCATAGTATTATTATCTCACAAGATGATAAAGCCAAAATTGGTTTAGGTATACCGGCAGTTGGTAGAACTTTTTAAAGTCTTCAATCTTTTAATGAACCTGTTACCATTTCCGATCATGACTTTCCTCATGGAATAAAACAAAAACTCATACCTTCAGTTTATCTTATCATTAATCCTGGAGATACAAATGAATCGCTACGATAAGGTCAATTATCAATTTATATTAGACCAGAATATTTTGTCAAAACATCTTCGACATCGCATATGAGAGATCTAATTGATATCACAAAAAATAATAATTATATACAAATATTTGAACATGAGGAATATTTTAAATCTATATGGATCTTATTAATTAATGAAGGACCTGACGAAAATCCTAAACATTTAAAAAATATTATTGAATATTGTCATTTTTTCCGTAAGCTTAATCTTGATTACCTTTCAATTCGTACACATGCTCCTTTTCAATCTGCTTATAATCCAGTTGAACGTAGTATGTGTACTCTTTCCGAAAAACTTGCTGAAATTGAATTACCAATTGATAAATTTGGATCGCATCTTAATAATCAGGGTATAGTTATAGATAAAGATTTGGCAAAACGTAATTTCGAATTTGCTGGTCAATGCTTATATGAAATCTGGAAACGTGATAATATTAATGGAAAACAAGTTCATGTTAATTATATTGATTATAATGAAGATCCATTCCAAAATGAAAGAGATTTTATAACTTGGTTATGGATAGAACATCATATACAAATCTGTCAATATTCTCTTGATATATGAAAATGTTCTGATCAAAGTTGTTGTAATAAAGTTTATGCGAAAGAAGCAATTGATCTATTGAAAGAAAATAATGGATTTCTTCCACCACTTACGAAAGGAAGAGATGGTTATTATTTAAATCCGATTTATATTTTACAATATATGGATAAGGTAAAATTACCCAAATATGATGAAATTTGTTCTTCGTTATCAACACAAATGTATCAAAGATTTTGTTGTAATATATGTGGTAAATATTTTTCTAGGTTAAAAATGATTAACGATTATAAAAAAATATTTCATTCTAAAAAAAAATGTTACTTACCGAATCAATTTCTTTATTGAAATTTACATCATCGCAACCATATTTTTCAACAGATGAAATTGCTATATCATTAAATAATATTAGTACACAACAAATTCAATTAAGTAACGTAGCTTTTATAGAAGATTTTTCTAATTTATCTTCTACTAATTCATCTTATTCATCAAAAGTTTTTGATTTACGAGATACACTTTCTGATACTGAATAAAAATAAAAAAATTTTTATTTTTGAGTTTTTAAATTTTACAATTTTAATAATAATCTTTTCTAAAATAAGTAGGTGATAAACCTATTAACCCCCCTCCTACCTTTCTAAAATTACGTAATAAATGGCATGTTCCTAACAGGCAAAATAGAACACCAGATAAGAGTTTATTTTAAACAATAGTTTATTTTTATTAGGCAAAAAGACATACAAATCTTTTTTTATACTATTGAATTGCGCATGTATTTATACATGTGCCTATTATTTACATGTTTTCATTTGTTTACAATTTTACGTTATTTTAGATTTTTCTTTTTCATATTTTTTCTATCCAATTTTTTCACTATTCATGACAACAGGGTAATGTAATGTGATGTTGTGTTGCATGCCTGTGCCATTTTTACACATAACAATACATTTAAGTGCTTGATCTTGTCTGATCTCATTTACATATAATAAGGTATTCAGTGTAAGTGCCCTTGCTGAAAGTAATGCTTTCTCAAGATATTGCCATATATTCTTTTTATCTTGATCTTTATGTGGTTTTGCTTTATATAATGTTTTAAGTGCAAGATTAATAGGTCTAATAGAAGCTAAAAAATGATAAAATAACTTAGATAATAGCTTATCCATCTCCTTGGCATGTTTTGACATAATTCCAGTAAATTCTTTTTCTATTGGCAAGACATTAAACTTAATGTTTTTGTTGTGTAGATATACTTGAAATAATACTTTTCTATCTTGATTGCTGAGTAGATTACCCTTGTATAATATAGTTGCAAGGTTTTTCATTTTGTCAAGAGGGTCTAGCAATTGCTTTTTTCATTATCTGAGTTGTTTTCATCAATAGGTTATATATTAAGGTTTATAAAGATATTATCATTTTGAGTGTTTATAATATTTGATATCATCACGAGAAATATCTTTTCAAATACAGACTGCTAACCAAAAAAAAATGGCCTAAGAAGTAGGAAGGATTATTAGTATACTATATATCTCTTGTTTACTTTGTTTCAGATTATATAAAAATTTCATAATTATGTATTGAATGATTTGAAAGCTGAACTATTAATCAATAAAAATGACCGAAAGCATATAATATGCATTGCAATCTCAAAACAATATGTATTTTATAGATTTTGTCAAACAAATCTCACTACACAAATTTCTAGGTGCTCAAGAAAGTCCAATCAAAATAAAATTTTATATAAATATTTCGAATATTGAAGAAGCTAAGGTATGGATTCAAAAATTCATAGATTTATATAAGATAATAATACAGAAAACTCGAGAACACACTATTAAGAAAATTTGTTATATATTCTCAAAACGATATTACTGTATTCATAGTTACATCATAAAATTAAAACAAGAGAAATGTGTCAGTAATAAAAATGGTTTAAGTACCAAAAAAAAACAAAGTGCATATAAGAAGTGCATGAATACAAGATACGAACTGTTTAACAACACTAAGCATTTAGCTACTGAAAAAAGCCCTTTCTTATCTGTATATTGTTTCTTTATTTTTTCATTACAATTATTCTCTTAAATCAAGTCATGTTACGAGTTTTTATCTGGTATTTGACAAAACAAAGAATACACTCTTTAAGCTTTTCAATATTGGACATAATCCTAGCAGTGCATATCACACTTACTGGAAACAAATACAACTGGAATGTGAAAATAATAAAGAAATGTTAGCTGACAGAACAATATTTTCACATAAGAATAACATTAAATACCTTTATAAAAAACATCATAATCAATATCTTGAAGCTTAAAATGGAAAAGATATATTCGATTGATTAAAGAAGAAAATTATAAAATTTAATACTAATAGAAAGAAAAATGTATAGATACACTACATGGACAAAAGTATTGCACATCTTAAATTTATTATTATATAAAAATGTACATAATAACTTTATTTAAAATTTTAATATGTTATTGTTTATATTTTAAAAAAACACATGTATAATTTTCGTGTTTTTTCAATAAGTAAACATTAAATTAAATATAAATACATATACCCTTCCAGTATTTTTAATTTCAAAAATGTATCATTTAACTGAAAGTCAATGTGATAAAATTATAGATCTTTATAAAGATAAACAATCCTTATCAAAAATTTCAAAAGTTCTTAAAATTCATATAACAACTGTTTCTTGTACAATTAAAAATTATCTTAATAGAAACAATCTTACTACTTTTCCTAAAACTGGACGTCCAAAACTATTGACTTCTAAAGACAAAACCATTTTAAAAAAAATTGTTAAAAAAAATAACAAGAAATCTACAGAACAAATTAGAAACAAATTTATTAAAAAAACCAATATTGAAGTTTCTACCAAGACAATTAGAAAAAATTTGTATGAAATGAATATTTTTTCTCGTATACCAGCTCAAAAACCACTTTTAAATGATTAACAAAGAGAAAATCATCTAAAATGGTGCATTGAAAGAAAAGATTGGACTGTTCAAAAATGGAAGACTATTATATGAAGTGATAAAAGTAGATTTACAATATTCAAAAATGATAGTTCTGGTCGTATTTAGAGAACTCCTGATACAAGATATGATATTGAAAATATGATTCCAACAGTAAAATTTGGAGATGGAGAAATAATGGTATGGGGATGTTTTTCAAGTAAAGAATTAGGTCCATTAGTAAAAGTAAGTGATAAATTAAATAGATTGGGTTATATCAAAATACTTGAAAAGCATTAATTACCTTTAATTAATAATACTTTTAATTATAAGAAATATTTGTTTCAAAATGATAATGCTCCAATTCATACTGCTAAAGATGTTTAACAATAAATTTTAAAAAATAAAATTAGAATTTTATCTGATTGACCAAATCAATCTCCTGATTTAAATCCAATTGAATATTTGTGGTCTAAATTGAAAAGAAAAATAAGAAATAGACCAGAAAATATAAAAAATTTTAAAGAATTAGAAATTGCATTACAAGAAGAA